CTGTGATTGTGTTGTGTTTGACCTGTAATAGTGTGTGTTGTGTTGACCTGTGATAGTGTGTGTTGTGTTGACCTGTGATTGTGTTGTGTTGACCTGTGATAGTGTGTGTTTGTGTTGACCTGTGATAGTGTGTGTTGTGTTGACCTGTGATTGTGTTGTGTTGACCTGTAATAGTGTGTGTTGTGTTGACCTGTGATAGTGTGTGTTGTGTTGACCTGTGATTGTGTTGTGTTGACCTGTAATAGTGTGTGTTGTGTTGACCTGTGATAGTGTGTGTTGTGTTGACCTGTGATTGTGTTGTGTTGACCTGTGATAGTGTGTGCTGTGTTGACCTGTGATAGTGTGTGCTGTGTTGACCTGTGATAGTGTGTGCTGTGTTGACCTGTGATAGTGTGTGCTGTGTTGACCTGTGATAGTGTGTGCTGTGTTGACCTGTGATAGTGTGTGCTGTGTTGACCTGTGATAGTGTGTGTTGTGTTGACCTGTGATTGTGTTTGTGTTGACCTGTAATAGTGTGTGTTGTGTTGACCTGTGATAGTGTGTGCTGTGTTGACCTGTGATAGTGTGTGTTGTGTTGACCTGTGATAGTGTGTGTTGTGTTGACCTGTGATTGTGTTGTGTTGACCTGTGATAGTGTGTGTTGTGTTGACCTGTGATAGTGTGTGTTGTGTTGACCTGTGATTGTGTTGTGTTGACCTGTGATAGTGTGTGCTGTGTTGACCTGTGATAGTGTGTGCTGTGTTGACCTGTGATAGTGTGTGCTGTGTTGACCTGTGATAGTGTGTGCTGTGTTGACCTGTGATAGTGTGTGCTGTGTTGACCTGTGATAGTGTGTGCTGTGTTGACCTGTGATAGTGTTGTGTTGTGTTGACCTGTGATAGAGTGTGCTGTGTTGACCTGTGATAGTGTGTGTTTGTGTTGACCTGTGATAGTGTGTGCTGTGTTGACCTGTGATAGTGTGTGTTGTGTTGACCTGTGATAGTGTGTGCTGTGTTGACCTGTGATAGTGTGTGTTGTGTTGACCTGTGATAGTGTGTGTTGTGTTGACCTGTGATAGTGTGTGCTGTGTTGACCTGTGATAGTGTGTGTTGTGTTGACATCTGGGATATTGTGGCAACATGGAGGGGTGTGTGTGTATATATATGCTTGTACATGTATGTGTAGTGTGACCTAAGTGTAAGTAGAAGTAGCAAGACTTACCTGTAATCTTGCATATTTATGAGACAGAAAAGACACCAGCAATCCTACCATCATGTAAAACAATTACAGGCTTTCGTTTTACACTCACTTGGCAGGACGGTAGTACCTCCCTGGGTGGTTGCTGTCTACCAACCTACTACCACAGGACGGTAGTACCTCCCTGGGTGGTTGCTGTCTACCAACCTACTACCACAGGACGGTAGTACCTCCCTGGGTGGCTGCTGTCTACCAACCTACTACCACGGGAGGGTAGTACCTCCCTGGGTGGTTGTTTGTCTACCAACCTACTCCCCACAGGAGGGTTTTTACCCCCCCTGGTGGTTGCGGGCCCAAACCAACCTACACCCACGGGAGGGTAGTACTCCCTGGGGGGTTGGGTGTCAAACCAAACCCCCTACTACCAAAAACTGTAGTACCCCCCTGGGGGGTTTGGGCTCTCTCCCAAACCTACACCCCAAGGGAGGGGAGAACCTCCCTGGGGGGTTGCGTCTACCAACCTACAACCACAGTCGGTAGTACCTCCCTGGGGGGTTGCTGCCCAAAAAACCACCTAAAACCCACGGGACGGTAAAACCCCCCCTTGGGTGGCTGCGTCTAAAAACCTACTACCACGGGAAACGGAAGTACCCCCCTGGGGGGTTTTCTGCCCTCCCAAAACCAACTACCCCCAAGGACGGTAGTCCCCTCCCTTGGGGGGTTTTGCTGCCCTACCAACCTACACCACAGGACGGTAGTACCCCCTGGGTTTTTTCCCTGTCTCCCAACCAATTTCCCACAGGACGTAGTACCCCCGGGGTTTGGTTTGCTCCTCCCAAAACCTACTACCAAAGGCGGTATACCCCCCCCTGGGGGTTTGCTGTCTACCAACCTATTTTACCACGGGAGGGTATACCTCCCTGGGGGGTTGCGTCTCCCAACCACAAACCCACGGGACTGTAGAAACCCCCCCTGGGTGGTTGCTGTCTCCCAAACCCCTACTACCACGGGACGGTAGTATTCCCTGGGTGGTTGCTGTCTACCAAAAAACTACCACGGGAGGGTTTAAGTACCTCCCTGGGGGTTTGTTTGGTCTCCCAAACCCACTACCCCCCAGGACGGGTATACCTCCCTGGGGGTTGCTGTCTCCAAAACCTACCCCACAGGAGGGTAGTACCCCCCTGGGTGGTTGCCGTCTCCCAACCTACTACCACAGGAGGGTAGTACCCCCCTTTGGGGGGTTGCGGGTCTCCCAAACCCCTACTACCACAGGAGGGTTTAGAAACCTCCCTGGGGGTTGTTTGGTCTACCAACCTACTCCCACAGGAGGGTAGAAACCTCCCCTGGGGGGGTTCCCCTTGCCCTACCAACCTACTACCACAGGAGGGTTTAAAACCTCCCTGGGGGTTGCGTCTCCCCAACCTACTACCACGGGAAAAAAGGTATTACCCCCTGGGGGGTTTTGCTTTTCCTACCAACCTATCCACCCCCCAGGACGGTATACCCCGGGGGCTGCTGTCTCCCAAACCTACAAACCACAGGACGGTATACCTCCCGGGCTTTTGGGCTGCCCAAACCAACCAACAACCTACCCACACACATAAATATAAATTTAAAGTATTTGGTTGGGGGGTGGGGGTTGTGTGTGGGGTTTGGTGTGTGTTTTGTGGGGTGTGTGTGGTGTGTGTGTTTGTGTTTGTGTGGTGTGGGGTTTGGGGTGTGTGTGTGTGTGTGTGTGTTTGTGTGGTTGTGGGGTTTTGGTGTGTGTTTGTTGTGTGTGTTACCACCTAGTTGAAAACTCACCGGGGTTTAGGTTGGGGGGGTCGAGTCCGACCCCTTTGGCCCCGCCCTTCACTGATCGCTAAAAGGTCCTCCCCCGGACCCCGTGAGCTTTATCGAAACCTCTGCTTAAAGCTATGAATGGTCCTCCCTCCACTACATCGTTTCCCAAACTACCCCATTTTACGACACTCTGGGCGAAGAAATACTTCCTAACATCCCTGTGATTCATCGTGCTTTAGCTTCCAACTGTGCCCCCTTTTACGTGTCCAATCTCTGGAACTCCTGTTTTTGTCCACCTTGTCAATTCCTCTCAGTATTTTTTGTATGTCTTATCATGTCCCCCCCTATCTCTCCTGTCCCCCAGGCGCAGGTTGTTTTCCCTTAACCTCTCCTTGGGACATACCTCTTATTTCGGACTATTTTTTTTTTTTGAAAACCTTTTTGCACTTTCTCTATTTTCTTTACGTGCTTGGCTAGGGGGGTTTCCAACGGTGCCGCAACCCCAATAGGGGCCTAACTAACGGTGTACAGGGTCCTAACGATTCTTTTTAAGAGTCGGAATGCTTTCGAGGTTTCTAGGGGGGCCCAATGCCAGCAGTTATTTGGTTGATGTCGTTCAGGAGATGTGCCTGGGGTTTTTACTCACCCCAAATCTTTTTCCTTGAGTGAGGGTTTTTGTCCTGACCCCCTAACGTACTCCCCCTGCGGCCTTTTTTGCCCTTTCCCCAATCTTCATGACTTTTTCACGGGGGGATTGAACCCAGGGGGCCAATTTCTGGGCCATTCTGCAGCCGTCCAGACCCTTTTTATTCTGCCTGGGCTTCGTCGAGTGTATTTTTCTCATCAACTTTCCCTCATCTGCAAAAAAGGGACACCTCAGATCTTTTCCCTTTCCCTCATGTCGTTTCACAAATACCGAAACACACTGGTCCTAGGGCTGACCCCGGGGACCCCGCTGGTCACAGGGGCCCACTCTGACACCTCGCCACGTACCTACCGCTGCTGTCTTCCGACAAAATTCCCTGACCATTGTAGTCCTTCCCTTTACCCTGCTTGGGCCTCCATTTTTTTCACCAATCTCTTGTGTGGAAAGTGTCAAACGCCTTTCAGTCCAAAAAATGCAATCCACCCACCCCCTCTCTCTTTTCTACGCTGTCACCATGCATAGAACCCAGTAGGGTTTTTTTACACGGATTTCCCGCCGAAACCCTGCTGGCTGCTGTTGATGAGATCATTCCTTTTTTAGTGTTCCACCACTCTTTTCCTGAAATCTCTCCAGATTTTTCATACTATACATTTAGTGAAAACTGGTCGTAGTTTTAAAGCTTCATGTCTTCCCTTTTTTAAAAAATTGGGACTACATTTTCTGTCTTCCAGCCTCAGCAATCTCCCGGTTTCGATAGATGTATTGAATATTGTTGTTAGGTACACTTTGCGCCCTCTGCTTCCCTCTCTCAATACCCTAAAAG